AATCTCTTCCTCAGCGAAGGGCATTCTCTGATCGGCACCAAATTCTGGAGCCCATAATTACAGGAAAAGTGTCCCCACATATCACCATCTCAAAAACACTGTGTCACCATTTCATCAGACCCTGTTCATTTACCATTTTCATGAATCTCAGGAAGTGCCCTTGTTTGAAATCACAAGTTGATTTTGTTTACCTGCCTCCCAGGCCCTCAAGGAACAGTGTTCTTTCCACACAGACTTACCCTCTTCATGCAAATCGGTCCTTGGGAATATCTGAAATTCCTCTTCTTTCTCATTCAGGAATCAGTCTCTTTACCAGTGACAGAAAAGGAACTCTGTTGAGCTTTTGTAAACAAATGAGAAACGGGGGTCCATTGAGCAGGCATCTTTAAATGTCTACAGTTCTGAAATATTTGATCAATTTATAGTTTTTAATATTAGGGTCTTAGTACCAAAGTATAGTTCTCAAATATATATGTATATATACATATGAATATTATTCACCTTCTAGATTACAAGATTTAACTTTAGGATGAATGAGGCTGGAAACACGGTTTCATCATTATATGGGAGCTCATGTTGGCAATACCACTTACAAAGTAGAATGTTCCAAAGGTTAAAAACATGACTCTCAGACAAATAGAAAAATAACAGAAGTCAAAGATTTTACTGAATGCAGTTTATGAGGAAACCAGTAAGATAAGACTAGTTCAAGAGAAAATTCAAGAACCTGGAGATTTGTAGTTGGTCAGTCAAAGGAATGCTGGAATTAATTTGCTAATAAATGTCAAACCAGTTCATGTCCTGCTAGGCAGTAATCTTTGTGATGTTACCCGACAAGAATCATTTGCATTGCTATCAGTTTTCTGCAAGTTAACCTCTGTTCTTAGAAACTTGCAAAATCACCTTCCTAATTGTCAGCAAAAGGTTCACAACCCTAGAAAATTAGATAATCCCTGGGCACAAGAGGTCACAAGACAACGTCCGGGTCTCCTGAGAAAGGGTACTCAGTATTCTCTTCGACCTATTTCCAAGTTTTGCATGCTTGCTCTTACCACTTTTCTCTGAGGGGCATGGAAACAAACCAATTTGCTTTTTCTATGATATATTTGTAATTAGACCTATGAAAGTGGACACAAAGCAGTCTCCCACTCCCCAACTGCCCTCTCCACTCCCTGCTCTTGCCTCCAGTGTTTCATCATGGGCTCTGAAGTCAGTCTGCTTGAGTTCAAATCATGGGTCAAGCCATTTACTACTGGGTGACCTTGGGAAAATTACTTAACCTCTCTGTGCTTCTCTATCGCTGTAGAAGAGGATCTTAAGGAATAGTACCTTTATGGTTTTGCCCTGAGGATTACATGAGATTAACGCACAAGTCCTAATAAATGTTACTACTACATAAGGGTTCATTATGCTACTGAAGTCTTTATTCGGACATTAAAACATTTTAAGAAATAGTGTCTGACACCTTGCTAAAGAGGGCTTCAGGTCTACATTTTAAAGAAGTAAAAATAATTAAATCATCGAGACGAGCCAATTAGTAAACTAATAGTTAACTTAATAAGAGGTTGCAATAAACTCTCCATGTGACAAAAGGATAATTCATTTCTTTCAACTTTGACGTTAAAGGAACAAAAACGTCTGAGTCAGGGGTGGCAGGAAATTAATCTTTGCGGAGTTAAAGTGTCCCAGGCACCGGACTTACCACGTATTTATTACATGTCAACAAATGAGTCTTTTCAGGAGGGTAGTTTTTCCCTCCTCCTTAAGGACACATGCTACAAAATGAAAAGCAGTAAAGGAAAATAACCAAGAGAAAAATATGCCAAAGCCTCAGAAAGTGGGTTTACCAAGCAAGTCAAACACAAAAGCAGTGGTTCAAAGCACATTTCAGCTTTAATCTTTTATCCTGCATAAAAAAAAACAATTACATATTCTCTGAAATTTAAATTATACATTATATTTATCAATGTGTTAGTAAATATAATGTACTGGGAATATATTCTGTTTCCCTATACATTGTTATTTTTACTTTGCCCATAGAATGCTGAGGAAAATACTGAATAAATACACATTTTGTTACAACACACACAAACAGCTCTGCTACCAATTGATATAAATGGTTAGATCTCCCTCCCATCCAAATTTTGGCTTATATACTCTTAAATTAAAAAACAACAGTGGTGTAGGCCACCAAAAGCCCGTGGATGAAGATGGTAAGTTAAGCACTGAAGTTCAGAATCAGACAGGAAATAGCTGTAAACCAAAATAGAAAGCAAAATAATGAAGAAAAATGACAACGCATGTCGAACCCAGGGTAAATTTTAATGTGCTCAAGCCTGAGAAGAGAATTTTCCTAAAATGTTGGTTTTCAGGGGGGCATTCCTAGGTTAAACTGAACACAAAAGAAAAGGGAATTTCCCTCACGTTTTCTGAGCCAAAAGAAAATCGAATTATACTTGAAAAACAAAAGCAACGCCTAATAATGCCTCTTTCTGCCCCCACCCACTCCTCCAGACTCGCTTCAGTTAGGTTTTCCCGCTGGAGGCCATTCAGTAACGCTCTCCTCTGCTATCTCAACACGACCAGATCGAGCCTTAACCCTCTGTGTCTCAGCGGGCTGATGCAACAATTATTTCCAGTCCCTCATGAGCTGGGAAACTGCATTCTGGATGTGCTCAAGCACATGGAGACATATAGTCTACTAAGCCTCAGATTACAGAAATAGTGATTTATTGCCAAAAGGATATTATTTATGGCCACTCTTAAAAATGATTTCTTCTTGTATAATTTTAAGAAAATATCAAGAGAGGCACTGTGATTTAAACAAACAAAACTGAAAATGATTTCTCACAATATTTCAGAGGCTCAAATTTTTATGCCAAAAACTTGTAAAATAGAATAATGCTGGTCTCAAGTTTCTAAGAAGGGTTTAAAAAAAGCTAAGCATGAGTTCATAAGTAAACTGGATATTCACGATTTTCAGAGAAAAAGGCAGAGTTAGTAAACTGATGCCAGAAAATAAAGTGACGCAGGGATTTTGTTACTGCGTGCATTTCTAGTTCTTTACCAAAGCTTCTGAGATTGTAAAAATTTGTAAAAGAATTTGGCAAAAGTTAATACATGATGGTTGCAGTCAAGGCTTTACACAATTGGAGACACTAAAATATATTCATTCAGTTGGAAGAGGATGTGGCAGTGAAAGCCTTCCAACCACAATGACCACTTCAGAGCGCCTTAGAAATGAGCGTTCATAATCCACACACACACACGACGGCGCACTGTCTTTAAATGTCCAGTAGGTACAACAGCAAATAACAGCATTTGACAGCCAGAGAACATAGGATCTCTAAATACAATTAAGATGATTTACTATGTTGTAGTAGATGACAAGGACTTCTTAAAATGGTAGCTTTAAGAGAGCTTATTTTTGAAAACTTAACTTGGAGTGAAACCCTTACCAAAGAATGAGCAATGCTAGGATTTGCCTTTTACGTAACGAAAGAACAATAAAAGGCAGGTGAAATTATACCAGAAGGGAAAGACAGACATTACATCCCTCAAGTAAAGTGCTCGAACAGAGTAAAGAAAAATGGTCATAACCATCTCTATTTGAGGTGGTATGTCTATTTTAATGTACTTTTAACAATGACTGAACTTTTAAATAAAGAAATGCATAATAAAGGTTAACATATGTATCCGACAATTTTGTCTTCTATTCTCAACAGTATATTTTAAACCCTGGACAAAATTAGTAGCCCAAATCTTTATTCTACCTTAAATTAATTTGTTTGTCCTTTTCTCTCCTCTCCAAATCACTGTACAGAGTTTGACGATAAGAAATATGATTCTTTGATAGCCCTTAATTCATTCTTGCAGCACCCCTGTATGGAGTTCAAGACCGACACACTTGAACAGCATTAACGTATGTCAACATACCAAGACATCTAGATGTCAAGACGAGAGGAGAGGTTCAGTCTGGAGATGACGGCTCAAAGACTTCTGCTGAAGTTGAAGACCACTTTGTGGTATACAGTCCACTATCTGCTGACTTCAAGCAGTGTGACAAAGAACAACATGACCAACACCAATGAATGTGACCCTACGTGACGCGGTGAGAGGGACTGATGTCCACAGCAGCTCCCGAGGTAGAAAACTGACTACTTATTATCAAAGATGTGCATGATACCGAAGTTAATAACGTTTAAGTATAAAAGTTAAAAAACTGCGCAAAGGTGCTGTAAGCACCCTGCACACACACGCTGGCAAGAGGCTAAACTACATCAACCAGGAGGTCTGCAGTGAGACTGTTTTCTTTATGAGTTTTAAACTCTGTATTTCTTTAGAATTTTTATGTATTCTATGCGTTCATTTTCTATTTCCTTATGCCCCCTCTAGCTCAAATCAAGGAAGAAAAATCAATCCTAAAAACTTGTGGGTCACTCAGCGGCTTGCACGTCAGTCCTCACAGATGCGGGAGGCCGCTTGGGCGCAGGGCCGTGAGAGGCGAGACGCGGGGAGAGGACTCGAGCTGGTGGTCCCAGGACGCGTGCGGAGGGGCTGGGGAGGAGGACGTCTGAGAGACTCTGGGGCTTCCCACTTGGACTTG